ACAGCTCGTTAATGATTGTCTTATCCATTGTATTAGTAGGATATAGCTCACAGTGCTTATAATTTATTTGCAAACCTGAAAATATCATTTTTATCAAAAAAACTTGTATTTGTCGTTATACTTATGGCTTATCCCTCGTATGTGGGCCTCTTGTCTGATATTTTTAATTCAGTTTCTTTAAGTATTGTCTCATTCTTTAAGTATTGTCTCATCTCAATCTCAATCGTTATATTTAATTCAGTTTCTTTAAGTATTATCTCATTCTCAACTCGTCCCCAGAATTAGCTCCCAGTGATTAGTATTAAATGATTTTTTCGAAAATACTTGCATTTATTATGTTTGTCCATCTAGTAATGGCATATCCCTCGTATGGTGTACCTCTATCGATATAAAAGACGAAGAAAATATTAAAATTAAATGTTTCTTAAACTATCTGACAGCAAATAATTTAATAAGAGACACACATACGAGGGATATGCCATAACTTCATGGACTAACATATGAAATTTAATGTTTTTTTTTTCGACAAAAATAATTTTGTCAGATTTGAAAGTAAATCATAATAATTGGAAACTAAATTTGGGTATCTCCCATGATTATCATTTGTTGTCTAACCTGAGAAAATGATTTTGTCGGAAAAACCTTCCATTTCTGGTGTTAGTCCCTATAGTTATAGCACATCCCTCGTATGTGCACCTTTATTAATATCTTTGCTGTCGAATAGTTTAAAAAACGTTTAATGTTGTTATTTACTTCGCTTTTATATTAATATGGGCACATATACGAGGGATATGCTACAACTACATGGGCAAACACAAGAAATAAAAGTTTTTTTTCTACAAAAATCAATTTTTCAGGTTTGGCTACAAATAGAAATCATTGGGAACAAAATTTGTTTACTACCCATGCGTATCATTTGTAGCCAAACCAAATAAAATGATTTTTGTCGAAAAAAACTTGTATTTCTTAGGTATCCATGTAGTTATGGCCTACCCCTTGTATTTGTGCCTCTACTAACTTATATTCTTTGTCCTTCATACTTTTCATACTATAGTTCAGCTCAAAGTATATTTTTTAAATATTTCAATATTTTTTTTTTATTTTGTTTTAGAACTTTTTTTGTCGGAAAAAACTTTCGAGATCTCTGGTGTTAGTCCATGTAGTTATAGCATATCCCTCGTATGTGTACCTTTATTAACTTATTTGCTGTCTAATAGTTTAAAAAACGTTTAATTTTGTTACTGACTTCGCCTTTTATATCAATATGGGCACATATACGAGGGATATGCTATAACTACATGGACAAAGACAAGAAATAAAAGTTTTCTTTCTACAAAACTCATTTTCTCAGGTTTGGCTACAAGTAGTAATAATTGGGAACAAAATGTGTGTACTACCCATTATATCATTTGTAGCCAAACCAAATTAAATGATTTTTGTCGAAAAAAAAACTTGTATTTTGTAGGTTAATTCATGTAGTTATGGCCTACCCCTCGTATTTGTGCTTCTACGAACTTATTAGCTCTCTGATATTCTGAGAAACGTTTAATTTTGTCGTTTTCTTTGCCCTTCATACTTTTTTATACTATACTTCAGCTCAAAGTATCAATAAGACTTTTTTTTATAAATATTTTTTGTCGGAAAAAACCTGGATTTTCTAGTGTTAGTTCATGAAGTTATAGCACATCCTTCGTACGTGTACCTTTTTAACTTATTTGCTGTTTAGTAGTTTAAAGAACATTTAATGTTGTTATTTACTTCGTCTTTTATATCAATATGGGCACATATTCGAGGGATATGCTATAACTACATGTACAAACACAAGAAATAAAAGTATTTTTTTTACAAAAATCAATTTTTCAGGTATGGCTACAAATAGAAATCATTGGGAACAAAATTTGTTTACTACCCATTCGTATCATTTGTAGCCAAACCAAATGAAATGATTTTTGTCGAAAAAAACTTGTATTTCTTGGGTTAATCTATGTAGTTATGGCCTACCCCTTGTATTTGTGCCTCTACTAACTTATATTATTTGTCCTTCATACTTTTCATACTATAATTCAGCTCAAAGTATTGATATTTTTTAAATATTTCAATGTTTTTTTTTTATTTTGTTTTAGAACTTTTTTTTGTCGGAAAAAACTTTCTAGATCTCTGGTGTAGTCCATGTAGTTATAGCATATACCTCGTATGTGTACCTTTATTAACTTATTTACTGTCTAATAGTTTAAAAAACGTTTAATTTTGTTACTGACTTCGCCTTTTACATATATCAATATGGGCACATATACGAGGGATATGCTATAACTACATGGACAAAGACAAGAAATAAAAGTTTTCTTTCTACAAAAATCATTTTCTCAGGTTTGGCTACAAGTAGTAATAATTGGGAACAAAATTTGTTTACTACCTATAATATCATTTGTAGCCAAACCAAATGAAATGATTTTTGTCGAAAAAAAACTTGTACTTTGTAGGTTAATTCATGTAGTTATGGCCTACCCCTCGTATTTGTGCTTCTACTAACTTATTAGCTTTCTGATATTCTGAGAAACGTTTAATTTTGTCGTTTTCTTTGCCCTTCATACTTTTTTATACTATACTTCAGCTCAAAGTATCAATAAGATTTTTTTTTATTTTGTTGTAAACTTTTTTTGTCGGAAAAAACTTGGATTTTCTAGTGTTATTTCATGTAGTTATAGCACATCCATCGTACGTGTACCTTTTTAACTTATTTGCTGTCTAATAGTTTAAAAAACGTTTAATTTTGTTATTTACTTCGTCTTTTATATTAATATTGGCACATACACGAGGGATGTGCTATAACTACATAGAGAAACGCAAGAAATAAATATTTTTTTTTCGACAAAAATCAATTTCTCAGGTTTGGCTACAAATAATAATCATTGGGAACAGAATTTATTTATTACCCATGATATCATTTGCAGCCAAACCAAATGAAATGATTTTGGTCGAAAAAAACTTGTATTTTGTAGGTTAATTCATGTAGTTATGGCCTACCCCTCGTATTTGTGCTTCTACTAACTTATTCGCTCTCTGATATTTTGAGAAACGTTTAATTTTGTCGTTTTCTTTGCCCTTCATACTTTTTTTTACTATACTTCAGCTCAAAGTATCAATAAGATTTTTTTTATTTTGTTGTAAAATGTTTTTGTCGGAAAAATCTTGGATTTTCTAGTGTTAGTTCATGTAGTTATAGCACATCCTTCGTACGTGTACCTTTTTAACTTAATTGCTGTTTAATAGTTTAAAGAATGTTTAATTTTTTATTTACTTCGTCTTTTATATTAATATTGGCACATATACGAGGGATGTGCTATAACTACATGGAGAAACACAAGAAATAAATATTTTTTTTTTCGACAAAAATCAATTTCTCAGGTTTGGCTACAAATAATAATCATTGGGAACAAAATTTATTTACTACCCATGATATCATTTGCAGCCAAACTAAATGAAATGATTTTTGTCGAAAAAAACTTGTATTTCTTAGGTTAATCCATGTAGTTATGGCCTTGTATTTGTGCCTCTACTAACTTATGAGCTCTCTGATATTCTGAGAAATGTTAAATTTTGTTATTTTCTTCGTACTTCATACTTTTTTTATACCATACTTCAGATCAAAGTATTCATAGTTTTGAAAGATTTCAATATTTTTCTTTATTTTGTTTTATAATTTTTTTTGTCAGAAAAAACTTGCATTTCTGGTGTTAGTCCATGCAGTTACAGCACACCCCTCGTATGTGTATCTTTATTAACTTATTTGCTGTCTAATAGTTTAAAAAACGTTTAATTTTGTTATTGATTCGTCTTTTCTATCAATATGGGCACACATACGAGGGATATGCTATAACTACATGGAAAAACACAAAAATGCAAGTTTTACTTCAACTAAAATCATTTTATCAGGTTTGTCTACAAATAATAATCATTGGGAACAAAATTTGTTTACTACCCATGAGTATCATTTGTAGCAAAAGCAAATAAAATGATTTTTGTCAAAAAAAACTTTTATTTCTTGGGTTAATCCATATAGTTATGGCCTACCCCTTGTATTTGTGTCTCTACTAACTTATTAGTTCTCTGATATTCTGAGAAACGTTTAATTCTGTTATTAACTTCGTCCTTTTATCAATATGGGCACACATACAAGGGATATGCTATAACTATATGGACAAATACAAGAAATTGCAAGATTTTTTTAAACAAAAATCATTTTTTCAGGTTTGGCTACAAACAATAATAATTGGGAACAAAATTTGTTTACTACCCACGTGTCTCATTTGTAGCCAAACCAAATGAAATGATTTTTGTAAAAAAAAACTTTTATTTCTTGGGTAAATCTATGTAGTTATGGTCTACCCTCGTATTTGTGCTTCTACTAACTTATTATTACAGTTCTCTTATATTCTGAGAAATGTTTAATTTTGTTATTTTCTTTGTCCTTCATACTATAATTCAGCTCAAAGTATTGATATTTTTTAAAGATTTTAATCATTTTTTTAGTTTGTTTATAATTTTTTTTGTCGAAAATTTTTCATGTAGTTATAGCACATCCCTCGTACGTGTACCTTTTTTAACTTATTTGCTCTTTAATAGTTTAAAAAACGTTTAAGTTTGTTATGTACTTCGTCTTTTAGATCAATATGTGCACACATACGAGGGATATGCTATAACTACATGGATGAACACAAGAAATGCAAGTTTTTTTTCAACAAAAATCATTTTATCCGGTATCCAAACCAAAGAAAATGATTTTTGTCGAAAAAAACTTTTATTTCTTGGATTAATCCATGTGGACACTCACTTATTAGCTCTCTGATAGGTTTAATTTTGTTATTTTCTTCGTCCTTCGTACTCTTCAGCTCGAGTAGTGCTATTTTTTTAATTTCAGTAATTTTTTTCCTTTATAATTTTTTTTTTCAAGATTTTTATGCTTTTCTGGGGTAAAGGTATAGAAAACAAAACACAGATGTAATATCACCAAGACATGTTTATTCTGTCGGCCTCAACAAGCTCCCAATTTACAAAAATACAATTGTTTACGACACAGACTGTCGACCCACCCAGCAATTTCCACTCTGGGCATATCTCCAGTCCGAGTTCAACACAAACAATCGCCGAAAACAATATTAACAATAGAAATAAAAATAAATACAAATAAATAACAGTTAATGGAGCCATGATAGTTTGTGGGAAAATTTGGAAGGAAATTTCCATCAATAGTTGTCCAAAAATAAATTAGGAATATATATAAATAGATTTAATTTGCTATTTGTACCTAAATATTCTAATTGTACTTCCCACTTTTTCAAACTGCTTTACATTCGTTTATTTATAAGGATAATTATAATTCACAGCAATTTTTTGTTTAATCAAAACAATTTCAAAATTGTAATACAGGGTCGTCCAAAATTAAAAATTAGAAGAGATCAATACATCAAGTAACTCACCCTGTATTATACATTAATTAGACATGCAATGACACAAGTTCAAAAGGTGGGAAGTGTTTTTATAGATATATTTTTAAATAAAAACAAAAAAAAAATAACATTTTTTTATCTATAGGAGATCTTTCTTCCAAACACATTTTTAGATTAATAATTTATCGTATGACTCCAATAATTGTCTAAATACTATCCAGAATAGGCTAAAAATCGGTTGGGGAACAGAATTGCACGTCCTATCGGCGTGTAGGGAGACAAACATGGGAGGCGCAACACAGGTGAGTTGGACCGCCATATTTAAAAAAAATGATCGGGCCTTAGTACGATGGGATGCATCGCATACCCCCCTCAGTCTCACGATTCTCCCTTGAACGCCTTATATACTAATCTTAAAATGGTATGAAACAATGGTGATACAAACAGGCGGATGATGAGGAGATGATTCCATGATAATGATTATGAGTCTCTTTACAAACTGAGATACGCAAAACACAAACTTATATTCATAAATATAGAGTAAAACGGAGACAAATTGCTGTGTTGCCAAATGTGTTCACGAAATTGTTGCTCAAACATAAATTAATTTAAAAAAATTCAAAATTTCAAAAGTTAGGTTCTAAAATTATGTTATTGTGGTACTTGTATGTTGTATGTATTGAATTAAATGAGAATGAATCACAATTTAAATTAAAACGACGTTTATTTTAATGAAATCCATGGAAATCAAAATAAACCTAATTTCCGATTCAAATTTTGAGCAGTTCTCATTAAATACAGAAAAAAAATCCACAGAGAAAATACTAAACAAGTTCCTTTCCACATGTACCCCTGATATTTAAAAACAAAACTAAAAAGTGTTGAACACAGTTCGTAAACACTGAAGCAACACAACAATACGATTCCGAAACACCCCTCATAAACCTACAAATCAATGTATCACATATATTAAACAATAATATAATTAAATCTATAATAGGATTGATTCGGGTGCTGATGCCAGTTTCATCGATCTTTATGTCATTTACATGGAACTATATTTTAAATTAGTGATTGTTTGAAACCTTAACTAGAGACAGAGAGTCGGAAAGAGGGCGCTAGTGTGGTTTGTTGGTCCGCTATGTACAAAAGGTCGCGTCCTCTTCCGACCATGGCGGAAGTAACTTTACATGAGAATCCGGGACGTCACCAATGGGCTTTTCCCTACTACTACTACAACATAACATGAGGGGCACACATCAACATACAGATATATAAACAGCAACAGGAAAAAGTATCCGATTGACTACGAATTTTCACTTCGAAAGATGAAAAATATAGAAATTGCGGAATGTTCCGAAACTTTACAAAATTTATTTAAATTTTACATTTTTTCCCTAGAACGACATTTCACAAAATCGATACCTTCTCTTTCGTTCGTTTTGCAATTTGATCATTTTTCCGGTGGCTATGTAGACAGAGATAGTAGGGCTGAATATACAGTAATTATAAATTATTTGGTTTTGTAACACGATCAAAAGTGGCACCTTAATGTCCTCTGTCGCAAAAAGTCTCTGAGTAGGCGATGGGCATGTGCACTCCACTTTGTACTAATCTCACGAAGCGGTTTAAAAACAAACCGCCACGGCTGTCTTACACTTCTAGAGTCACCACCTTCATCGGCCTCGGTGAAGGAGATGGTGATTTTTTGGACAAATTTAGAGGCTGCTGTGAGTCCGCTATATCAACCTGCAGCTCTACCATTTTGGGTATCGTCGTTAGTAACGAAGAGTGCGGACTGGCGGGAGATCTAGACTGTGGAGGAGCTGGTGAAGTAGAGTGTGGAGACTGCTGCGGGTGCAGATACAGCCGGCTGTAGTCCTGGTGCTGAGGGGGTGGTGTGTGGCTGTTGTGCATCTGACTTTGGCGAGCAGTAGTTGTTATCACACTGGTAGCCCACGCAGGTTGTAGCAACGACCCATTTGATGTCTTGTAGGGACAGGCGGTGGGAGCTGCTGTTACCATAGGGGAGGCAGATTCACCACCTCTCATTATGAAGTTGTGAATAACTTCGGTTCTTTTCATTTGCTCCGCTGTCATCCTTGGACCTTCCATAAGTGACCTGGCCAACATCGAGTGTGAACTGGACAATGTAGATTGAGGAGCAGCTGTGAGCTGCATTTGTAGTTGAGATTGCACTGGTTGTGGGGACATGATGACAACTGGTTCTGCTTCTGCCGAATCTTTGTTCCTCAAGGCTCTGAATTTTTTATGTGGTTTGTAGGCCTCATCCATGAGAGAATTTGTGTCGTACAAGGGGGGTGCTTGTAAAACACGTTTGAGAACAGGCATGTCCTCGACTATGTGATGATCATCAACAGATGATCGAGGGCTGGAACAGACTGAAGTGGGTTTTTCGATTTTTTCAGTTCCAGATTCAATACCAGAATCGCTAGGGGAATCGAGCTTTCTGAATCTGGGGTGAGGATTATGTGATGGCCTTGAAACTGGGGTTATTGTAATTCCGTTGTGGATTAAATGTGATGTGGCTGCTAATTCATCATCACCAGAAGAGGTTGAGCCAGAGTTGGCTCGATGCCTGTGCGGACAAACGCCACCTGCCAGGGTAGCGGCTAGCAAGGGTGCGTTCGTTATATTTGAGCTGATATGGTGACTACTAGCATGAGGATATTCATGGATTGATGTCATTTCTGAAGAGCACATCGATTCTGTGCTGGATACAGAGCCAAGAGGAGACTTAGCATCATCCATAGTTACATCAGATGATGATGACCACGAAGAGGCTGCTGGGCTTTTGCTGTTACTTTCTTCTTCCATATGGCCATTCCACGTATGATGATGGAACTGTTGTTGCTGTATGATCTGATGCTGTTCTGTCATTTTGAAGGCAAGTAATTTCTCCGAATGAAGAGTGTTTAACGTGCGAAGATCAGGAATCTTCTTCATTAATTCATCCATGATATGGGGTTGACCGAGATGGTTTTGGGAGACGACCATTTGTAAAGATGCCTTCAGTTTGTTATGCATCTTCTCGATCAATTCGGTGTTTCTTAGACCCGGACGATCAGCGGCGATCACGACCACAGAACAAAAAAGTCCAATCTCAGCGTCGGATAATCTTAAAAAGTTCATTCTTTCCGCGAAATCAAACATACTGTCCATTAAGAACCGAGCATTAGAACTATTGTGAACAGAGTCACGTTTTAGCACTTGTCCATTTAAACAAACCATACTGGCTGTTTGAGAGTCAAACATACACGCGAGACGCACTAACAACACTTCAAAAACTCCAGCTTTCAGCAAAGTAACTTGATCATCTTGAGCCAATAAGGTGAATCCAGGTATGCGTTTGGCGAACTCCACAACACCACGAATGGCTGGAGAGAATCTCTTTGAGAAGTCCTGCAACAATTCTTGCTGGCCCGATAACGGTTGTGGATTGGGATTCAAAGGACATGCCTGAAACAAAAGAGAAAATCTATTTAGTATTAAGTCGTAAAGCTATGAAAACAATTATAATATTTTCATATTATCTGCCAAAGTTAAAAATAGAATGACCTTTGAGCGACTCAGGAGAAGGTTAAGAATAATAGCAATCGATTCCAAGGTCTGTCACGTACACATTTTTAACGGAATCTTTAACATTTTTGTGCTCTCGTTGATAACAAATTGGAGTAGATGATGAGTTTGAGATAAACACAACCAGTGTCGTCTATAGATATTTAAGTACGTTTTAACCTTGTCCATAATTCCTGATAAATGTAACGCGAAGAAAGAGACGGATATAAAACACAACCTTGAACGTTTCCGCTTGTCCCTTTGGTAACAAGGTCAACAAGTCTGGTCAATTACATTATTGTTTAGGGTACGTTACCATAACGCCCTATTTCCGTCGCCGTAGTGCTCGGTAGATCATTATATTTTGTGAAATAATATATAAATAAAAATACTTACCAAACTTGGTGGACAAACTGTATACGAAGGATGATCCCTTGCACGCTGTAGCATAGGTTCGACTTTGTCCCTGGTGAAATCACAGGTGTCGATGTGGGCCCTGACGACAGTTTCGAGCAATCTTTGTTCATCTTCCAATTCAGCAGAGATAGCTTTTTCTAAGGAGCGCGAATTTGAACTTTGCTGCATAGCAGCCAAAATCCTGGCCTTTTCCCTCTTCGGCACACGACCAAATCTAACAGCTGTAACAAAAGAAATAAAATCGTAAGTAAATACCGTCGACAAACTTTCAAAAATATTTAAATTAAGGGTGGATATGTATGCATAAACGTCCAGGTGCCCTTTGGGTGAGCGCGTGCCAGCTGCTCTACATCTGTTTTAATCCGTTAAAAAAGTACCAGCGACAGGAGAAAGTGTTTGTGCTGTTCGATAATATGGTATAAAGTTGGAAAACGCGGGAGAGAAATTTGCCTGCTTTCACAAAGATTCTAGGTCAACGAGAAAGTATTTCGATAAATTCGATTGTCAAAAAATTGATCGCGATGTGCAAAAAAGTACCAAAACATATTTTTGTAAATTGAAGCTACGAATTCATAAAAATATGTACGTGTACATATAAAAATAGACAGAGAAAGTCATATGCTTTTTAATAAAAGATTAGTCGATGTTGTTGTATATTTAAAAAATTAATTGTACCAATGTTTCGTTTATAGTATAGTAAAAAAAAATATAAGTTTGTTGCAAGTATTTAACGTTTTTAAGTCCGATAATACAAAAAAAATGTATGGTTCATAATATGCCAGTATTTTTTAAGTAAAAAGTATCTATCAAACAGTAAAATTCGTTTTGTAGTGTAGTTCTAAGAAGTGTTTTAAAATAAAGTAGGTTTTAACACCAGTTATGAATTTATCTTGATTAATTGATAAAATGAAAAAAGAACAAAATTTAGTATCAAATATAATGAGATTTGAACGTTTTTAAGTTATTGTAGATTTGTTTTTCGTTGTCACAATATTGGTTTGCTAATTTTAAAATTAAATAAATTAATCCGCTTTTGATTATTCATTAATGCAAATATGATTAAGATATTACACTTTTTAAGTTATTTTAGATTTGTTTTTTGTCATCAAAATATAGTTTTGTTATTTTTAAAATACATTTTTAATGTATTCATTGATAGTACAAAATTGAACTGCTGAAACATTCACTAATTAGTGAAACCGTTATCACGAGTAAAACACTTTAAATTTAGCAAAAAAACACCTACGTGCGTTATGATAGTTGACAACACCATTAAGTATTCCCTTAAGGATGGGTAATTCTTCACCCATTGTACACTTTAACTGATCACTTTCACCAAAAAACACATGTGCACGTCGCGATTGACGTAAAATCGGGCTGCGAGCACGAGTGACAGCACGAGCTGGCATTCCCGAGATGGTAGCGAGTATAGTGGCGCGAATAATACTTCCAGCCAGCACCCACGGTCGCGATTCCCCTCTAACGGCGACCCCCCCACTAGTCGCCTTCCCCTCCATCACCCTTGAACTTGAGAGTTGCGTCGCTGGTTCGAATACATCGACGGTGCGCGTTTAGATTTGAAAACGGGCGCCGGGTGGGGAGGGAGAGGAGAACGACAAGGACGCTCGGTGCCCCCGTCACCCACCTAGAGGGCATTCCGGGGCCGACGCGGCACAGAGGCGAAATCAGGGGTACTCACGTCGGAAATTTGAAAATATACTCCACATTTGCTCGTGATCTATCGCATTTCTTTAATTATATTATTTATATTAATAAAACTATAGATACAAAAAAAGTCTCGTTTGATTTCATTATTTCTTTGGTTTTTATTAATATTTTTGATCCTTGTAGGCTGTTCTTTTCCTGCTCAGTACGAGAGGAACCACAGATTCAGAAAATACTCAAACGAATACAGGGCAAAACTACAATTAGTAAGATTTTGCCTGAACGTTTGCAAGGTCTTTAATGTCGAAAATATTCAGTAGTTTTAGCGCTTTTCGTTAATAAATTTCAGCACTTTTTATACCAAAGGTTCGAACCTTTGGTTGAAGCACTTCCTCTGAAGCTGAACATAATTTGAGTATGTTAAAACGTCATATTGGGGTTAACATGATATATGTTGGAATTTCGGGAGTCTGTAGGCTTAAAATAATGTGATTCGGTTCAAAACAATTCTTTAGTCGTTTTTGTTATTCAGTTTTAGCCCTTTTTATGTAGTTTTTGGTTTCCGATCTAAACATCAACCTTTTAGTGTACCTAAAAGATGAATTCAATGCCATATAGAGCATTACTATTTGGGTCAAATTACTATTTTTTTTTTCGATAATGGACTATTATTATATTTAAAAATAAATATATCTATTATATATAAATCTTCTTCTTCTTTAGGTACCGTTTCATCTAAGGAGGTTGGTAATCATCACAGTTATTTTCACTTTTGAGATTGCAGCTCTGAACAAATCGATGAAACTTCTCGATGATAATTCTTCCAATACTTCATTTTCCCTGCAATATGGTTTGTAGCAACACATATATATCCCCTCTCATATAAAATATATATAATGAACTTAAAATTCTAGATTTTCCGTCTTTTTAAATTAACCAAAAAGTCGAATCCACTTCTGCACAAGTCTAAAGATTGGCAGCACCCCAAAACAATAAAAAACGATGAGTTTTTTAAAACCAACCTCGGTATTTTTAGCAATGTGTATAAACAAGTCGAAGATTTGCATAATTATGCTAGAAAAAAAATAAACTTAACAAAAACATGATCATTGTATTGTTGACGATTCAAAATAATATGACCTTAACCACGCCGTGAGTTTTGTTTTGAAGCAAAAACGATAGGATCGTATTAGTAATTTAAATAATACAAAAAATAATTGTTTAACTTTGAACGTAGAAGAAATATTGTACGCGAAAAATATTTTGATAAGTCTGTGATCAATATTTATTTAAGAATGTTGTTGATAAGTCACAAGAGTATTAAATTTAACAAAAAAACTAAAACACGATATACATGTAATGGAAGAAGCTACTAAAAATTGAAAATTTAATAAATCTAGATGAAGAAAGCCACCATTATTCCTTGTTCCTTGGTATATATTTATGCTAATAAAAAATATAATTGAAATTAACAAGGTAAAATATTCATAGAAGAAAACAACAGTACGAATATTTAACAACATATAAATACCACCACTGAAAGACAAGTTATGTATAGTATTCTCATCAATTTGGTCATTATGAAGCGAAGTTGTAGATGATATAATTATACTTTACAAACCAATCCCATAAACACTCTTTCCTGACATTTGATACACATTAAAAAACAATCTAGGAATGGTAAATCATAACAATAAAAGAAAGTCATACATGTTTATACTTTCATATCACAAAACTGCGATCCTCAGTTATTATCACGCTCTGAACTACCAATGAGTTGAATGAAACAATTAAAAAATTCAAATAAAAAAAAATTCAAATAAAAAATCATTAATAAAAAAAGTATTTTTGAAATCTAAATCTCTTGTGTAAAATGTAGTTTCCTCTTGTATCAAAAACCTTCACATATTTTTGTAAATATTGGGGTAAAATATGTTCAAAACCTACAACATTTAGAAACGCATTTTAAAAATCTCTCGTTTTCCTACATTTTTGCCGATCCGGCAACGTCGCTGGGCGCTGCGATCTTTATTCCTCGAAATGTGCGATTCTACTGACGTAGTACAGGTTTCCGTCGCCAGAAAGCAGCACCTACCGACTAACTAGATCACCGCGCGGTGTTGTATTTTAGTGCTATCGCTATGGACTTTACAACATGCACTTCCAATGAGTCACATCTGTTTGGAATCGCGCTCAAGAGGTGATTCCCGACTAGAAGCCACGTTATGGGCTCGATTTGAATATCGTTAATATGGTAATTTTTAAAAGAAAATAAAATTGCCGAGCTCAGTTTATTATTTTTTAGTTTCTGGTGAAGGAGAATTGTTATAAATTGTCACGTAATTGTCATTTGTCATAATTATAAATTAATACAAAAAGTTAAGACATATTCGTTTTTGATTGTTAGTTCAATGATTGGAATTTTGATACAAATTATAGATCTATTTCTATACGGTTCAGAGACTTCTAAGAGGAATCTAATAAAAATGTAATGAAAACATATTTAAACAGAAAAGTAATAAGACAAATTGACGTAGCAGTGAATGAAAATGATCTCTGAAGAACACATTGCATCCTCGAACTTTATGCTATTTGGTATAAATTCAGGACTTAGGCAGGGGGATCCATTGTCACCATTGCTGTTCAATTTTGCTTTAGAATATGCAATAAGTAAACTATCGTCTGAGCTGATAGGAAATAGAGCATTATACACCCTTTCAACATTATTAAGATCGAAGCTGCTAAAAAGAAAATCTAAATTAACATTGTACGGCAGTGAATCATGGACTCTCAACCAGTTGGAAATCAATAAGCTTCTAGTATTTGAAAGAAAGGTTCTCAGAATAATATTTGGCCCTCAAAGAGATGAATTCACAGGGGATCGGAGAAGCAGCAATGCTAAATTGGTGACTCAGCAAATGGGGCAAAATGCTCCACTCAGAAAAATGCTCCCCGACACACTCATTAGGCGGAGAAAAAGGGGAAGATCAAGAACAAAATTCCTTGATAACATCGACGATCATTACCGGAAGATGATGGATAGGGAGAATTGTATTTAAATTTATCGAACATCGTAAGAGCTTTTTTAGTTTCCATATTTCTTTCTATTTTGTATCTGTATTATTACTTCGTCAAGATTTGTGTCATAACTTCTTAGCAGTCGGATTTTTATCTTTTGGTTAATTCTCATTTGTATAAAATGCTGTTTATTGTAAATAAATTTAAAGTTATCAATTTATTTTAGTTAAATATAGTAGGGAACATTCTATTAACGTTAATTCTGACAATCAACCATGTTCCAATTCGCTAATTTCCCTCCACTTGTATCTAACATGAAGCAACAACCACCTCGGGTGAAAGACGAATTTTATTAACTTAGAAAGTATGACAAAAGTTCAATGCCTCGGCAGAGATTAGCTACGAGAAAAAAAGCATTCTAAGCGATGGATGGAGAGAAGAAAAAAACAAAGCGATTTCAGTTCTGTTACGACATACAACTTTCACCGGTTAGGAAGTTAGAAAACAAGACATGCAACTGTTAAGCTTTCATTGAACTTACAACGGTTACTTTCACCTAATGTTAAGTCTAAAAATCGTGGTAAAAGTCGTTGTTAGATGTGCGGGGGAAGAGGTTATCAGCCTCGTTAACATTGAATATAATAGAGAGGCACAAAGCGTTCAGAAACGATTTCACAAGATTTAACTTTGGTTTTGTTTAATTAACTACTTGTTATTTTTTGAGTATAATGGCACCATGTCTTTATATCTATCATTATTTGTTTTGGTCTGCTAGCAAAGCTTCATGTAGGCAATAACCACGCTAAGCTATACCTTTTGTACCATATTTTTGGTGTCCTGTCTACCAAACTCAGTGTGTTCGGTTTCTGCTTTTTGCCATATCTAGCCATTTGTTTCTCTATTGCCTTTTGCGTGCGAGTAAATAAACAAAGACAAAGAACAATTTTTGATAAAGATAATAGATTGGTTCCAGCTATCAAAGAAACCAGGTAATCTAAGCTTAAATCAATCCAGATGTCAGTAAGACTTGATAAAATAAAGAAGTGGCTAAAATAAAGACGAAATAATAAAACAGTGTAACTTTTCAGTAGAAAACACCCTTGTGACAGTTTTTAAGTCCTTACACAAAGGATGAACAAATAAAAAACCGTTTTCAAGCAGTTATATACTACTAAAAAATATTTTACTACGAAACACAAAGCATAAAGTCATAAATTATTGTTCTGTTAATTTTATTTGTCCGTAAAAACCACAAAGTGCCTTATTAAGCAATCACTATTTATCAGAAACAAAAGTGAAAATTCTGAATTCGGGGTCTTTGACATTGCCAAAACTAGGGTGAAAAGTTTCAAAATTCGCGACCGATTACCAAACAGTGCTTTCTAAGAAATCGGTACCGAAGTAGCCCAAATCCGCGATGAAAAATTTGCACGTCGCTGTAATGGCAATTTTTAATGTTATTGTGATAGTGCGGTCAAATTTGATCCAAGGAAAAACAATTTCCGAGCTAAGTTAATTTGTTATTCAACTGTAATCGTCTCTTTAAACGGCAAAAATGCTCAATTTACGTTACAACACCACAAATATGGTAATTTTACAATAACATAAATATGAAACACACAAAAGCAGTCAAAATTTAATATTTAATGGGTAATAACAGCACCTCAAAAAGTGTTGTAGCCACTAGGGGCTATGGGCCTACAACATCCAGGTCAGGCATGTCAACTTTGAAGTGACATAACCAATAACAACATCTTTGGTTAACACATTTCGATCAAAACCTTTTTTGATAACGATTTCTGCAGTGTAAGTTGAAACGTCAAATACTAGTTAATTAAAAATGTGATTTTCATCACAATTATACCAATAATTGTGACTCAATCCCATGAAAAACATAATATGACGCTTCTTGCCAAAATCCCATATACAAACAGTTGAAATATCTGAAAGTGAACACGGTTCGTCTTTTTCGCCAAATTTACCTGTACTATGTGTCAATTTTGGCCAGATTCGTTGCGTAAACCAACGGTTGAATGAAGTAAAAGTGTACGCGAGTCGACCACTTCTATGTGGAACAATGATCTGTTCACTCGGGTTCAAGCGAAGTTGATGGCCTCAACACGATTTAGCGCCGCCACTTGCTTGCAATAAAATAGTTGTGCAAGAAGGAGAGAACATGCTGTTGCGATACCTCTACATCGAACCTGGGTGGTGTTAACTGACAATTTTTATGTCGATAAAGAGGTCAGTGTTCAATAAACTGTTTGTTTGTTGCTTAGTATCGATATTATTAGTTTGTAAACAATTATTTCACTCTAGAAATAATTTGTTGTTTACAATTATAGGAAAAAAAATAATTTAAAGGAAAAATCGCAAAGTATACAAAAAAAATGTTAAACTGGAAACTATATTCAAGTCAATTGCTTATAAAACCATAAAATCAGTACCAATTTTATAGTTTCTCTATATACTGCCGCTTTTGATAATATTTTCTTCAGTTCTGGTGGAATCTGATGGAATCTACCATCGGCCAATAAGACTTATATTTCAATGCAGATATTTGGACTTACACACTGCGACTTAAACGATCCTCTGTGTATTTGTTTATGCTTGTTTTGGTCCAAATGATTTAGACTTCAAAGAAAACCTAATATCCAAAAAAATGACTGAAAAAAATTCCCATGATCTATGTCTCATTTTACAGAAATGATCAGAATGTACTGTCTACAATGAAAACAACTGAAAGTTCAACTTTTTGAAGAGTCTTTTATATATGAAGAGAAAATACCTTTAACAGAATATATTCTTCTAGTCGGGTGCAATAAATTTAGCAGTAGTGTGTCGAAAGAACTATTAGCGTGGTCTTTGGCTCATCATCAATACCATTACAAGTAATTCTTTTATGTCCTGGCACCCATAACAAAGATAGTTATGTTGCGCCAGTTTCTTAAGAGATCCAAGTTACTACGGATTCACAATAGAGTCTTTAGTGCAGCTTTTAGGACTATACAAGAACATTTTATCCAAATTGAGTCGTGTTTTTGATCTACCGTTTGAAAAACGATTTTAGTGGTTCAGAAAAAGCTCAGGCAACATTTTTTAAGTGTTTTTTTTTTCGTATATATTCATCCTGGTCGTTTACAAAGGAAAACATGGAAAAAATAGCACCCAAAGAGCCATGAAAAGGCAAATGCTGAACATCAGGCTATCAGACAAGAAAAGAAATACTTGGATCCGCAACAAAATAAAAGTGACCGATGTATCAACGCAGATAGCAAAACTTAAGTGCAAATTCGCTGTACATACCATAAGACAGAAAGACGATAAATGGAATAGGATGATTATACACTAGAGTTACAAACGAAAAAGTGGAAGGCCACAAATGAGATGGTCAGATGACTCAAAGAAACACGTAGGTCCAAAGTGGATACAAACTGCCTACAATAGAGAGATGTGGAAGAAGGAAGAGGAGGCCTATGTCCAAAATTGGACAGCAAGGGCAGTGTAGATAGATAGATAGATATTCATCCTAAGTTACATTTAGATCCTCCAGTAAAGACCAAACAATGCAACACAAAACTTAAAAAAGTTGGAAACTCTTTGAAGATGCTTTGTATATTTGAAAAGCTATAACAAAAAAAAGAAACAATCTAACCGAAAGAACTAAATTTTTTCATCGCCCAAGTGTGTTCATCAAATAAAACCAAAAGTTTTTATCTAGAAACAATTTTTTTGAAGTGTATTTTTTAATAAAACAATTTTTATTAGCATTAATTATATAATATTGAATTCAAAGTTGAACAAATTCAATAGAAAATGAAAACAACTCTCAAACAGCAATCATTCAAATCAAGTCTTATCGCGTCATCCGAAGAACAGTTAATTGGGCTAAGCCTATGGAAAATCCTCATGAGCATTACTGAAAAGTCTCGGGGTAGGAATGACCTAGTATTGTGAACACGAGGTCGTTCACCTACGGCACGTTGAACTTTCTCGAATGCGCGCAGATGTGGAATTTGTGCAGAGGTCATTAAACCCTGGACCTGGATGACCTATATTTACACAATCTAACAGGGATTACTGGTTCCAGATTACTAGAAATGCATTCGGACTGCATTTTTTACACATAACAAGCGATTTCTCATGATTTTACATACAGCTGGTCGGGAAAATTGTTAAAAGATGGTTTAACCTACCTCAACAAACTATTCAGACACTATTTTTATCATAAAACATTATCTACAATATGTTTTTATATAATTAGAATTATAAATATAAATTTTTAATAAAAAACAATTTGGAGGGAATATTATCCTGACACAAACACTTATTTTTACAAATAAACAAAAAAGAAAACAGTGTAGTTTCTTTGTTGATACCTTACAGTACGATTTGTTCTGAATAGTTGTTTTTGTTGGTCATTTTTAGTAATAAAAAAATTAAAAGTACTCACCATCTCTGCTCATCCCAACTGCGATGCATTTCTTAAGCCTGCAATACTGGCAGCGATTCCTGTTGATCCGAAGAATGGAACACTGCTGGTTTTTGGTGCAGGGCCTGTACTGTATCTTCTGCTGGATGCTGCGTCTGAAGAAACCCTGCGAAGAACACTCATTTTTTAGACAATCGTCACCACTATCGCAACCCGAACTACTACTATCATCACTACGAGTAGTAACAGACCCTTGTGGCACTAAGGACTCTGTACAATTTAGCACAGCCATCATAATTAATTTAATTGATTAGTTAATTGCACATAACAAACGTGATCGATTTTTTTAAGAGAGTGATCTCGTATGTGTCGACCAATCTGCGAGAAATTCGAGAGAACACTGAGCAGCAAGCAACAAACGATCGAGTTCGCCAGTGTTACCATCTGACCTACTTCCCGGTTGTTAACCCGCTAAAGCTAAAGCTCGCGAGGCCAGTTCACTCCGTGAAAGTGAGAGTGGCGGTCTCTTTTCCACCCGCAGCGATGCCAGCGAGCCAGAGAGAAAAGGAATGAGTTTCGCCATTCGCGTATTGCCCCAACTATTCTATATGGCGAATATTTTTCGCAAAAAATTATTACAAACGGTTATCAATCATATCAACCTGATTATTTAGATGTATTAGAAGTTATTCGGTAGAGAAATTAAGAAATATTAACGAAAATCCCGGGGTTATGGGCTGAACAACGCTGCTGGGTCGTTGACCTGCCAGGGAAACTGGTGCAATTTATATAATTGTGCATCGGAATAAAAATGTAAGTAGCATAATAAAACAACAGTTTATCGTGTATGTCGATAAAAGTAAAACAAAAATTGATAATACAGCAAACAAAACGATAGAATCTAGGTCAATATTTGGTAGATAGTTGCAATATTGAGGTCATGACAATTATTAGTTGAACTAGTGCAGTGACTGACACCGAATTGGGTTATCTCGTATTTCGCGAATTGACAATATTATATTCAGAACGCTGCAGGTCGATGAACTCACAACAAATAAGAGTATAGTTGTAAATAATATAGATGACCGAGAAGGGAGATAGATGGGCCAGTTGTAAAAAAAGTTTTGAGTCAACAATGAAGTGGAGGGGGGCCGGTGAACGTGATGCACCGCGAAAAAACTGTAATTTCGGAGAGAGGGGAGATGTGGGAGTTTTGTGTTGAGTCATAGGCGAACTGGGAGATTTCTGAGGAATTTTGTTTACTCATAAATATATCCTCGATTATGCAGGAAGTAATTTATATAAAAAAAAAAATTATTTGGGTTTGGTGAGGTCCAGAGCTTTCGTTTTTCGTTTTATTACACAGAATGATTATTAAGCAAAAACCTGGATAATTGTCACTCTCTTCCTCAATTACAAACAAACAATATGGAGAAACTGAGAATCTCTTTCGCGAAAAAACCAAAAAATTACCACAGCCCATCGGCATTCACCTACTGAACCAAATCGGTCAGCTAAAAGAAAGAAAATGTTTTCTCCAGTAGAAAAAAATTACTATACTTCGTTTTATAACACATTTGACATTTGCATTTTATGAGACAATGCAAATGAGATAAGACCTTCTTCCACAAAAACTGTGTTACCCAAATACGAATTTACATAAAAGATGTTAGCAATGTTAGCAAAGAAAACAGGAGTAATTGATCGAATTTGGACAAAAAAGTTCAGCTACAGAGCTTCTCGACCCAAGCCAAAAAAATGCAGATATAAGCATGTATGTACTTCTTTTTTTCGGTGCCATATTAAGTCTCCATAACATTGGCGATTTCTTCACGATATTCCGGTAATCGGAATAGTTGTTCATGATACTTTCTTCCTCCCAATTCCTCTGCAGCTCTCAATTTTACCTTTCATGTTAAGCTGAATAGCTAAATTCACGAATGGTGCTTAAAGAATATGAACTTACTAACGAAGGGAAGATACAATAAGAATAATTATATATTTAGAGTCCATATGGTCGCCTGAGTGCATATTCAGAGGAGCTTGTTGGCGAATATCAAAGTGGTTTTAGGACCATGGACCATTTCCAAGGCAGATGAAAACCTTCTGCTTATATTTGAACGAAGATTCATGAGAAAAATATTCGGTGGCATATGTGAAAATGGTGTTTGGAGAAGGAGGTACAACTACGAGATATGTCACAAATATAAACATATATTTGGTGGTAAAGACGTAGTATCTCTTATAAAAATAGGAAGACTAAAATGGACAGGACATCTGGCAAGATCACAGCAAAACAACCCTCCTAGAAGAATCCTTATGTCACAACCTGTAGGAAGTAGAAGTAGGGGTAGGCCAAAATTCAAATGGAGGGATGGTGTAGATGAGGATGGGAGACAAATAGGCGCAGCAAACTGGTAACGGTTGGCAATGGATATAACTGACTGGCGTAATAGACTTGGGAAGGTGGAGGCTCTTTTATAGGGCTGTAGCACCAATGATGATGATGATTTAGAGTCCATAGGTTTAAAAGAAATGGATTTTGCACCACATAATAAAAAACTGAATTTATTTCTACTTTCTGGCAACAATGAGGAAAATCTCACCCATTGCCAATAAGTAACTACCAGATAGCTGTAACAGTGGACATCTATCACCTCACACCCATCCACAAATTTATTGTCTTCCTACTTAACTACAAAATACCAACGAAAAGATTTTTTATATACAATTTTTATAACACCTTTTTTATCATCTATTTTTTCCCTGATATTATTGATAATTCAAAATCGAAGAAAACCAAAACCGTTATCACCTCCTCAACCAATTTCGAAAAACAGTTACTTCAGTAATACAAGTCGGATTTTTCTCGTCGTTCATTGTTCGCAAACAGGCCTACCACTCCAAGAGTCAAACACCTTTTTCGCGCTGCTACGCATAGCAGCCCAAAGAGAATATTCTCGAATATAGTGTGACGTTTGTTCACTATCGCTGTTGCGTCATCGGGGACTACCCGGTCAGTTGCAACATGTGTCAACGATCGGAGTAGTTAACGTTTGGTTAATAATGAACGTACAGGGTGTCCCAAATCTTTTAAAATACATTCTCTTAAAAATATTACAGGTTTTAAATCTGTGAATATTTTTGTTTGTGGTTTCTATAACATTTTTAGTTTTGTGAATCCATTTGTCAGCGGAATCCAAATTTGAACGATTTTTAGTAAAATTACTGTGGCTTTAGATCGTGCTTTTAAAAAGAGTTAAAAATATTGAGAATAAATCTATTTAATTACCTTAATTTCAAGTGTTTTTTCCAAGGGTTTTAAAACTATTTTGACTATATTTACTATCTTCTGACATTATTTTCAATATCAGTTTGTAAGCATTTTAAAAATTTTTGACACTAAGTTTTAAGAACTGTCAAATAGGAATACGACGAAAAAAATTTAAATAACGATATTAATTTTTGGCAGTGACATTTCGGTGTTGTCAATGGTATACACACCATAATTTTGTTATTATGTCGTGACAATCAGATCTTCAGAGAATTAATGAATAAAAAACATGCTGAGAAAACTCAGAGTGTACAATTTTCAAATAAGATTTTTGTGAACAGGTTTAAGGTACTAAACATGCTTTTATATATTATATATACGTTTATTAGGGGTGTTATCCTCAACCCTTTATCTCTTGCTGTCCTCTACCATAAGATCAGTAAAATAGCTTCAGAACAATACCACACGCAGGTCAGAGACACCAGCAACTTCTAGTGTTATAAGTAGAGGATTCATTTAGAATTTTAAACTGGTGCCTTGAGTTTTTATTTTTCTGTGCACCGGGATATGATTCAAAATCACTTCCACTAAAGCATTTTGACTGTTATGAACATTTAAAATGTTTTTAAATGTTTCCAATTGTTAGAAGAAAATTATAGTACTAAATATATGAATAAAATGTCCCAGAATTTTAAAAAACTGATACCTAAGATTCCTATAGTCCAAGAATAAGACCAGTCTGCTACTTAAGGTTCATAAGCTATGCCAAATCTATGCTAATATGAAAAACAAAAGCAGAAATAACATTCGAATGGAAAAAAACAAAATACTGGTGATGAATTCATGATGAATTTAAAATAACTAAAAAAAAGTTTCTAAATTGATCAAATATCATTTTAAATATATAATGTATTTAAAATGACTACAAATCGATTCTCTTGTGACATCCTGTAAACTGGCAATCGTTGCCTTTAGCCGGAAAAAGAACTGTTATGGATTTGAACAATTGGACGTTACAGGAATAAGTAATTGTTCAATTGAAAAATATTAGCTGTTACTTCCTGGTAAATAAACATATGCATGGGGTCATTCACAGCAAAGAGTTATGTCAATACAACCATTTCTTTTAGAGATGACGAATTGTGATATCGAATGTGTCTAGAATTCTTTATTCTTTTTGCGAAGTTTAATACAATACATATTATATAGTGAGGTGTGGCACGAATTGGTGCCAAAATGAGAATCTAGTTGGAAATTACTTTCAAACTAGAAGATAATATCAGATCAGATAATATGAAGAGAAAGAAGATTTTTCGAGTAAAAATATGTTTCCATAAACCAGTGGTTAAGAATGGAAATGATAAAAAACTCATCACAAAACTGTGAAGATAGTAAAGAAACCAAAAAGTCCTAAAGCTAAAGCACTGGCAAAGACATGAAATATTTATAATTGGAGATTTTGCAACAATTTGTTGATGAGAATATTGATAACGAAAGGTAAAATATCTTGAGAGAATGATCAAAAAAGTATAAATAACAAATACTACAAATGTGTTGAAATGATCGTAAAATCCAATTATAATAATATTGAAATAACCTTTATAGGGACCTTGCAAAAACATTCACAAACCACGACTCCTAAACAACTACAGCGTACGGAGTTATTGTTATCAAACCGACGAAATGTTTACAATTTTTCCACACTTTAGCAAAAGGTCAGTTATATTAAAATAATTGGCGCTTCCTGTTTTCCCAAATTAACATATTCGCGGATTGTCAGAACGTGCCATAGGCCTAAACCTATCCCAACATAATTCTTATCGACTCTGTTTTATGTGTGTGTATGTATTTCGCGATTTGGTGACCCATTTGGCATAAAAAATATCAACAAACTTTCAATAAGACAAGACCGTTGCTAGAATAGTATTTTACACTCGAATTATCCCGACTTGGATTTCTTGGTAGAGTAATAGTGAAATAGAGGTCAACTAACTACAACAAAGACCACGCAGTGTATCTCGATCTGTTGTTATAGTCCAGTGAGAAAATTTTATACAATTTTCATTATTTTCGCGTATTATTTTATTGTAATATATATTGTAAATTACTCCACAGGTTTCTCATGTTC